GCAACCTCCGCCTCCCGGGTTCAAGCGATTCTTCTGCCTCAGCCTCTCGAGTAGCTGGGATTACAGGCGCTTGTCACCACGTTCCGATAATTTTAGTATTTTTAGAGACAGAGTTTCACCATGTTGGCCAGGCTGGTCTCGAACTCCTAACCTCAGCTGATCCGCACGCCTCAGCCTCCCAAAATGCCGGGATTACAGGCACAAGTCAACTTTTGCTATCCCTTCATTTATTTCTCTCTCTCTCTCTCTCTCTCTCTCTCTCTCTCTCCCTCTTTCTTTTTTCCAGGCTGGAGTGCAGTAGCCCTATTGTGGCTCACTGCAGCCTTGTACTCCTGGGCTCAAGCGATCCTCCCACCTCAGCCTCCCGAGTAACGGTAGCGGAGACTATCAGCGCGCACCACCAAGCCTGACAAATTACAATAATTTTTTGTATGTTTGTTTTGTTTGTAGAGACGGGGTCTTCCTGTGTTGCCCAGGCTAATCTGGAACTCCTGGCCTCAAGGGATCCTCCTTTGCAATCCTATAAAAGTGCTGAGATTACAGGCATGTGCCACTGCGCCTGGCCAAATGCACCCTTTTTTAGTGTACAATTCAGTGGTTTCTAATATATTCGCAAAGCCATGCAACCATCACACCTACCTAATTTCAAAATGTTTTCATCACTCCAAAAAATAATCCCGAATGGGAGGCCGAGGAGGGCGGATCACTCGAGACCAGCCTGGCCAACATGTTGAAACCCGGTCTCGGCTAAAAATACAAAAATTAGCCGGGTGTGATGGCGCACGCGCAGTCCCGGGTACGCGGGAGGCTGAGGCAGGAAAATAGCTTGAACCTGGGAGGCGCAGGTTGCCTTAAGCCGAGATCGCATCACGTTACTCTAGCCTCGGCGACAGAGGGAGACTCTTGACTCAAAATAATTAATTAGTAAATTAAAACAACAATAAATAAATAACCCCATACCTTCTGCCTCTGTGGCTTTGCCTGTTCTGGGTATTTCGCGTGAACGGACCCAAGCCACGGGTGGGCCGGGCCCCTTTCCAACGCTCAGCCCCGACGTCGGCCCGTGGCCTCCGGATTGGACGGCGCGGCGCGGGGTGCGCGGCGCCCAATCGCTCCGGAGCATCTGGAGGAGGCAGGTGCGGGCGCGGGCGGCGGCGCAGAGGCTGCTGCAGGCGCGGGAGGCCCGGACGCGGTACCGAAGCCGCCGACCACGCCGGCTGCTGATCGCGGGAGCCCACGGCGCGGACATGGCGGGCTGGTGGCCGGCGTTGTCGCGCGCGGCCCGGCGCCACCCGTGGCCCACCAACGTGCTGCTCTACGCCGCGCTCTTCTCGTCCGGGGACGCGCTGCAGCAGCGGCTGCGGGGCGTCCAGGCCGACTGGCGCCATACGCGGCGCGTGGCCACCGTGGTGGTGACCTTCCACGCCAACTTCAACTACGTGTGGCTGGGCCTGCTGGAGCGCGCGCTCCCGGGCCGCGCGCCGCGCATCGTGCTGGCCAAAGTACTGTGCGACCAGGTGGTTGGCGCGCCCATAGCTGTCTCGGCCTTCTACGTCGGTGAGGGGCTGGGAGGGGGTCTGGGAGGTGGGACCCAGTATTGGGGGACTGGAGGCAGGGACTCGGGGATCAAGTGGCTGGAGGGAGGGCGCTGCAGGGGCCTGGGGATGCGGGCAGGAGCTGGGGCTCTGAGGTCGTGGCTGCTTCAGCGGCCTGGGAGAGCCGGGGCAAGGGCTGGAGGCTAGGGTGTTTGATGAGGAGAAGTTGGGGTGGGGGGCACTGGCTGGGGAGCCCGGAAATTGGGAGCCAGAGGTCCACCGGGTCAGGAATTGAGGGGACTAGGGTCAGGGCTTACTCTGGGGTTGGGTATACGCCAAGGCTGGAGGTAGGCAGGGCTAGGGAGGGCTTTTTCCCTCTCAAAAAGGCCCACGGGAAAATCAAGATCTCAGCTCAACGCCATAACATCTGCAAAGGCCATGAACCAGTCCTGGGGAAGGGAAGGGACCCACCTGGTGTTCAGAAAATCCACGCCTGGGGCTCCAGGGCCAACATAGGAACAAAATGCAAGGGGACCCATGCAGGTGGAATGTGAGATTATGCCTGGATCCTCAGAAAATTCATGCCCAAGGTCCTAGTTCTGCTTTGGTAACAAGATTTTCCCCTGGGGGGTCCCACGGAAAATAGGGGACCTTGTATTCCTGCTATGGAGGACTATATACCTGTGAGCGTTCAGGGAACCCTCTCCTTAGAGTATCCGACCCGGGCCTGGGGTGTAGGGGACAAGGGAATGACTGTGGAAACCTTCTCCACTGCCTAAAATAAGAACAATGGAAATGTTACCTGAAAAATACCAGGGTTCATTCCCCTAAGGAGTGACAAATGACTCCACCAAGAGGCAGGTTTTGATCAATGGGAGTTTTATTACTTGGCACGAGTAAGGAAGACACTGGGCGTATTCTCCAAAGCAGTGTGTCCCTTAGAGAGAGACAGGAGGGTTTTATGGGATGATGGAGAGGGGAGAATGTGAGGGTGCATGACTGCATGTAGAGTAGGGGTCCCAGTGGCGCAGATGCAGCGAGTCATCATGTTAGTACATAGGTTGTGTGTTATAGTCATGAAGCTGTAGCTTCTCCTGGAGTGAAGACTTTAGCATGGTAATGACGAGAGTTAACTTGGGTTCATCTGTAAGTAACCCGGGTTCAGTTAGGAGCTGGATTTTTATTATTTATTATTATTATTTTTTTATTTTTTATTTTTTTTGGAGACAGAGTCTTGCTCTGTTGCCCAGGCTTGAGTGCAGTGGTGTGATCTTGGCTCACTGCAACCTCCACTTCCCGGGTTCAAGCGATTCTCCTGCCTCTGCCTCCCAGGTTCAAGTGATTCTCGTGGCATGCCTGGCTAATTTATTTTTGTATTTTTAGTAGAGATGGGGTTTGACCGTGTTGTCCAGGCTGATCTCGAAGTCCTGAGCTCAGGCAATCCACCCGCCTCAGCCTCCCAAGCTGCTGGGATAACAGGCCTGAGCCACCTCGCTCGCTGGAGCTGGTTTAAACAAACAAGGTGTCCTCATTCCACCCAGGGTTGGGGAAGGACAGGTTGAGGGCAGGAGGCTGTAAAACAGGCTGATTGCTCAAGTTGGTTAACTTCCAGTAGTCTTTGGAGATCCTCCCTGTCTGTTTACAGAAAGAGCCCTATGGCCTCTATCATCATCGCAATTTCTATAGCCTTGAAGGGGTTGGGGTGGGTAACTGGGGAGAAAAGCTCTATGGGTCTTAAGCCTGACCTTGGGATTGGGGATCACAAATTTCCCCCCAAATGGGAGAGGACTTTTCCTAAGGGCTGTTGATGCTTTCTAATACCAGGCTGAGGTCAGGCAAGCCACTGTCTTGAAGAAACTTACTCTGCCCCCTGAGCCTTATTTTTAAGAGTCAGATTCATTTCCTTTCCCAACAGACCCCACCAGAAACACAAATGACCTGATTATCTATTGCCATTGCAGCCAGCTACATGGCTGATGGGGTCAGTGGGTCAGGAGAACAGACAGCCTGAGAGCTAGGGCCTCCTGTTTTATCAGAAGGTCTGTGCCTGGTTCCAGGGTATCATTTCCAGACTGGATTTGCAAACTGCTTCCTAGCACATTACAGAAGCTGTATACTGGTGAAGGGGTAGGGGACCAGAATCCTATTTCATCCTCAAAGACCAGTGAGATTGTTCTCTCTTTTTCTTTTTTCTGTGTGTTTTTTTCTTTGAAACAGACTCTTGTTTTATTATCCACGCTGGAGTGTACAGTGGCCTGATCTTGGCTCACTGCCACCTCTGAATTCAAGCAATTCTCCTGCCTCAGCCTACCGAGTAGCTGGGATTACAGACACACACCACCATGCCCGGCTAATTTTTGTATTTTTAATGGACGTGAGGTTTCACCATGTTGGCCAGACTGGTCTCAAACTCCTGACCTCAAGTGATCTGCCCACCTCAGGCTCCCAAAGTGTTGGGATTATAGACGTGAGCCACTACACCTGAGACTGTTCTTATTATTCTCATGTTACAAATGAGGAAACTGAGTCTCAGAAGGGTTACGTGACTCACCCAAAGAGAACACAATCCAGGCACTTGATGCTCTCATGGTGAAAAGGTTGACAGTGTGCCTGGACTGAAAGGTGCTGAGTAACTAACAAGACTTGAACCTATGTCCAGGCCAAGGTCTCTGATACAGATTCCTGGCCAGATTGCTACTTTGCTTTGGTTTTCAGTTTTTTCTAGTTCAGTTTTCCTCATCTTGTATTACAATGAAGGGGGAAGTGGAAAGGGATGGATTGGAGGTTTGTGTAAGGCTCTACCTGGAAATTGCATTAATCAGATGATCTTTGTGCTGGGGCCACCTTGGGGAACCTGAGTCGTAACAGATGAAGAGCTCTGCTTGGGAATGGGACACCTGGGTTAAACTCTGTCTGCTATTAACCTCTCTAAGCTCTTTTCCTCCTTTGTAACTCTACCTACCTTAGCAAATTGTAAGGAGAGGAACATGAAATGAGGCGCATAAAGTACTTAGCATTTAATTAATGCTGGCTAAGTGGAACACAGTATTACCAATATTTTGCTGGGTCACGTAAGAATCTTCTGCAATTAACTAATAAAGCTCTTATTTCCCCTCCTTTGTAATCAGGGATTGGAAAGAATTTTTAAAGTACTCTCAGTTTTACAACCCTTCCTAAAATACAAGAGCTTTGCCTTGCTACCTGAATCTCTTTTTTCTTTTTTCCTTTTCTCTTTTTGAGACAGGGTTTCACTCTATTCCCCAGCCTGGAGTGCAGTGATGTGATCACAGCTCATTGCAGCCTCGACTTCCTGGGCTCAAGCAATCCTCCCACCTCTGCCTCTGGAGTAGCTGGGACTGCAGGCGTGTACTCCCATACCTGGCTGGTTCTTAAATTGTTTTGTAGAGACAAGGTCTTGATGTATTACCCAGGCTGTGAATTTCTCTTCAGGGATGTTGAAGATCAAAGTTTTCAAAGTGTTTTTAGGAAGGCTGAATTGATGTTCCACTTTCAGATTTTGATTAGGGTAATACTGATGGGAAATTTGTAGTTGCCAGAATATTTGGGTCCACTAAATAAAAAATTACTTATTTTTATTTTTTTGAGATGGAATCTCGCTTTGTCACCCAGTCAGGAGTGCAGTAGTGTGATCTTGGTTCACTGCAACCTCTGCCTCCTGGGTTCAAGCGATCCTCCTGCATCAGCCGTCTAACTAACTGGTATTACAGGCATGCACCACCACGCCTAGCTAATTTTTTATTTTTAGTCAAGAGAGGGTTTCTCCATGTTGGTCTCAAACTCCCAACCTCAGGTGACCTGCCCACGTTGGCCTCCCAAAGTGCTGGGATGAGCCACTGCACCTGGCCCACTGGCTTTTTTTTAAAGATAGAAATTAAAATTTCAAAATGTTCAACATTTCACAAAATGTTTGGAAGGTAAAGTCACCAATAGACCCACTATTGTAACTTGTTTGTTTTTGTGAATTGTTACAGTTTTTGAAAAAATAATTGTTTTCCTGTAACTTTAATACTCTGCTATTTTTGATTTGTATTTAGCATTCCTTTAAAATTTACCTAGTTTTAGAATGGAGATTATGTTCTTTTTTTTGTTTTGAGACAGGGTCTCGCTGTGTTGCCCAGGCTGGAGTGCAGTGACATTATCACAGCTCACCGTAGCCTCTACCTCCCAGGCTCAAGCAATCCTCCCACCTTGGCCTCCTAAGTAGCTATGACTACAGGTGTGTCACCACATCTGGCTAAGTTTGGAATTTTTTGTAGAGATGGAGTTTCACCATGTTGCCCGGGCTGGTCTCTTAACTCCTGGACTCAAGCGATCTCCCTGCTTCGACCTCCCAAAGTGCTAGGATTACAGGCATGAGGCACCACACCTGGCTATGTTCTTTTCACTGTAGGGTCAGAAAGGTCATTTATGGATGTTAGTGATGGTTACTTTGCATATTGAAATGGGAAACTTAAACATGAACTGTTCTACAGTACTCTTATGAATCTCTTAAAATTCTTTCGGTGTTTTTTGCAAATAGGTATGAGCATTCTCCAGGGAAAGGATGACATATTTTTGGACCTGAAACAGAAATTCTGGAATACCTATATGGTAAGACAGGCTTTTGAAAGTGTAATCAGTATCTTTTTGGGTATATATGTATATATTTATAAGGATTTTAAAAATTTTTAATTGACACGTATATGCAGATAATTCAGTACACACGTGATTCTTCAGTACACACGTCTAATCATATCAGGGTTCTCTGCGCACACACGCTTGTGTGTGTGTGTGTTTTAAATAAATTTTTTTTGAGACAGGGTCTCGTTCTGTTACCCAGGCTGGAATGCAGTTGTGTGATCATGGCTCATTGCAGCCTCAACCTCCTGAGTTCAAGCAATTCTCCCACCTCAGCCTTCTGAGCAGCTGAGACTACAGGCATGGGCCACCACACCCAGCTAATTATTTTTAAATTTTTTGGTAGAGACAGAGTCTCACTATGTAGCCCAGGCTGGCCTCAAACTCCTGTGCTTCAGCGATCCTCCCGTCTCAACATTAAGTACATTTTAATAAAACTAATTCTTAAATTAGAGCTCCAGTTTGGCTGGCAGAAGGGTCCAATATTTTGACAGAGAAATCTTAGTTATTTTGATAGATGAATGAGGAGAGGCTTTAAGAGTATCTATACTTCTTATGAATTGGAAAGAAATAATATGTCTAGGCCGGGCAGAGTGACTCATGCCTGTAATCCCAGCACCTTCAGAGGCTGAGGCAGATGGATCACTTGAGGTCAGGAGTTTGAGACCAGCCTGGCCAACATGGTGAAACCCCATCCTACTAAAAATACAAAAATTAGCTGGGCACGGTGGTGCACATTTGTAATCCCAGCTACTCGGGAGGCTGAGGTAGGAGAATCACTTGAACCTGGAGACAGAGGTTGCAGTGAGCCAAGATCACACCACTCCAGCTTGGGCAACAGAGCGAGACTGCATCTCAAAAAAGAACTACTATCTATGCATTTTAGTCCATGTTCTCAATGATTTCTGACTTTATTATATGAACTCTTATTAATGATCACAATTTATTTTATAAATTTTGCAGCCAAAGGGACAATTTATTTTGTAAATTTGAGATCCTATTTGCAAAATAGGGATTGTAGACTGTAAGTGGCTTAATGGAATCCTTCCCACATTCAGAGTCAATGTTTTCAGGTGAGCACTCTGCAGACTCTTGCTGAAAAGAACTTTATTATCAAAAAGGTACTGATAGCGAAGGAGAGTTTTCCACCCAGGGTTATTCCAAGGTTTGAAGCAAATCAGCTGTTTTACTGTTTGCTCAGCACAAACATACACAATCCAGTCCAATACATATTTATTCAGTTAAGATTTATTGAACAGTGTCCTAAGGCCTGGCAAAATCCGGGATGATTTTCATCTCTGCCCTAGAGCATGTTCGATTGCATTCATCACAAGGAGATGAATCTTTGGGATTCTAGAATGTACACAGGCTGGCCTAGGCCTTCACATGTTCTTCATTCCCTATCGAAAGCAGTGTTGAGCCACAACTACCTATACCTGTACAGCTTCTAGCATCATCTGTTGGATGGTACCGAGCCTCTGAGCAAGCATCACTTGATGGCTAGAGGCAGAGGATGGAGAGGTTTGAAGCCAGAGGCTTCCCCTGAGCCTCTATACTACAGTATAGAGTAACTATAGTAACTACAAGGAATGTGTTCAGAACTCTTGGGATTTCTCTTAGGGCAGAAATTGAGGACCCCATGCTGACAACCAAATGTGATTTTCTTCTGGTTTTTTTTTTTTTTTTTTTTTTTAAGACAGAGTCTTACTCTGTCTCCTAGGCTGGAGTGCAGTGGCACCACCTTGGCTCTTTCCAACCTCTGCCTCCCGGCTCAAGCAATTCTCCTGCCTCAGCTTCCTGAGTAGCTGGCATTACAGACTTGCACAACCATGTCCAGCTAATTTTTTTATTTTTCAGTAGAGACGGGGTGTCACCATGTTGGCCAGACTGGTCTTGAACTCCTGACCTCAGGTGATCCGCCTGCCTCAGCCTCCCAAAGTTCTGGGATTACAGGTGTGAACCACCACACCCAGCCACTTCTTCTGTTTTAATTTGGAAAAAGGAACAAGCTTTTCCATTATGTTGTAAAGTCTATAGAGATATGTACAGCTAACATTTTTTTTTTTTAAGAGCAAGAAGTTAGGCAGCTCACACCTGTAATCCCAGCACTTTGGGAAGCTGAGGCAGGAGGATCGCTAGAGTCCAGGAGTTTGAGACCAGCCTGCACAACATAGTGAGACCCCGTCTTTAGCACAGTAAAGCAAAATAGCTAAGTATAGTGGCGTGCATCTCTGGTCCCAGCTGCTTGGGAGGCTGAGATGGGAGGATCACAAGCCTGGGAGACTGAGGCTGCAGTGAGCTATGATTGTGCCACTGGGCTCCAGCCTGAGTGACAGAGTGAGACCCTGTTTCAAAAAAAAAAAAAAAGAGAGAGAGAGAAGGAAGTAGAATTGGGAAAGAAAGAAGCTTCAGGCCAGCACTTTGGAAGGCCGAGGTGGGCGGATCACAAGGTGAGGAGATCGAAACCATCCTGGCCAACTTCGTGAAACCCCGTCTCTACTAAAATATGAAAAAATTAGCTGGGCATGGTGGCACACGCCTGTAGTCCCAGCTACTCGGGAGGCTGAAGCAGGAGAACTGCTTGAACCCAGGAGGCGGAGGTTGCAGTTGCCAAGATTACACCACTACACTCCAGCCTAGCAACAGACCAAGACTTTGTCTCAAAAGAAGAAAAAAAAAAAAGAAAGAAGCTTCAGGCAAGGATTTGTAAATGATGAACAGAACCATGGGAACATTTGCATACTGTTTTAAAAAAATAGTGGTTACAATGAGCGAGTCTCATCTACCCTCATGAAAAGAAAGAAGGTATACCAGCAGTCAGAAGCCCAGCCCATTTGGAGATTTTTCGGGGAAGATTTGCTTTGATAAGAAACTGTCTTCCAGGTGCTGTACTAGGTGTTTGTGGAAGATACCCAAAAAACCCATATAAAACACAGATTCTGTCCTAAAGGCACTTAGATTCTAGTGGGATAGATAGATAAACAGACAAGTCATTAACTAGGATTCCACGAGAAATGCTCTCAGAGCCCATGGGTACTTAGCACAATGAGGAGGTGTGGAGGTGGGGATCCAGGAAGTCTTGCTGGGGCCAGGCACCAGCGGCTCATGCCTGTAATCCCATCACTTTGGGAGGCCAGGGTGGGTGGATCGCTTGAGTTGGGGAGTTTGAGACCAGCCCGGGCAACATGACAACAAAACCTGATCTCTACAAACACAAAAGTGAGCTGGGCATAGTGGCTCGCACCATGCTACTCAGGAGTCCCAGCTACTAAGGAGGCCGACGTGGGAGGATCTCCTGAGTCCAGGAGGCTGAGGCTGCAGTGAGCTATGATTGTGCCACTGCACTCCAGCCTGGGCAACAGAATCAGACCTTGTCTCAAAAAAAAGCAAAACAAAAAAGAACGCCCATAACTCAA